ACCCGGACCGGAACCCTGGTGCGGTGACGCTGGTTTCCGGCGGGCTCCTTAGAGCGCTGAACAGCTTTGGCCGAAGGACCATGAGAGGGCCGGAGCCCGGTCCCGAGCCAACGATGGAGGGGGACGTGCTAGACACACTGGAGGCACTGGGGTGAGTGTTCTACGGGACACCTTTCCCCCGAAAACGTAACCTTTCTTTCTGCTTGGGTCCTGCAACCTCCTTCCCTTGGGCCTCCGCTGGGCCCACTTGGCCCGATGCAGGCCTACTTCCTTGCCTTGCTCCCTCCGGCGCCGACAGAGTTAAGCGGGAGGCGGGAGAGAAATCCGTTTTGGGGGTGGAGCAGGGCTGGAGAGCTGGGGCGCGTGGCCCCCTCTTCTAAACTTCTTTCCTCGAAACTCTGCAGCGGGAATCCGCGGAATGGCGCGGAGCAGCCAGGCCAGCCCTGTGCCCGCAGGTGATATTTATGTTGACGTAGTTGTCGCGCGTGGAGGGAGGTGCTGGAACCTGACCTGCGGCCGGGGACTCTTATCTCCTAAAGTGTACAACTTGTGGCTTACTTGGGACTCGGGAGCGAATCTCTCATACTTCTGTGGCCAGAGAAAGTGTTTTTAGTCAGCGCGAGGCCATTCATTCAGTCATTTCATTTGTTTACTAACAGCGTATATATTAACTTGTGTTACAATATTGTGTTACATATTAACTTATTTGATACATTGATACATAAGTATGTAAATTTCCTTTAGACGGGAAAATGGCAGTCTTCAGATTGCTATTAGTTTACATAGATGGGCAGGCTACAAAGAGTCTACTGGTATTTACCATTCAAGGAGGTAAATTCTGTGAGAACTGGGGTAGAGGTAGGGTGATGTTAATACTTAAAGGTGTGGGAATCCATAATCTCCCCCTCAGTCTCATCCTGTTTTTCTTCACAGCCCTTGTCCCTACCCAAATTTTCTTTTCCTGCCTATTTATTTGTTTGTCTCTTGAACTCCCCTTCTCTCCCCTTTTCTTCCTCCTCTGCAAATCAGTTCCTGGAAAACTGATGCCTTGCTTGTTTTGTTCGCTGATGTATTCCCAGCAACACCCTAGAACGGGGTCTGTTACAATAAATAGTGGTTGAATGAATGAATAGATGAATGAAGAAAAGTTCAAAGAGGAGAGTGCAGGGTGGTAAGCATAGAACTAGTTAGTTGAGAGTCAAAAAATACAGATTAATTAAGGAGTTTGGAGTCATCTGCACAATTGTTTACCTTGCTATATGATGCAGTTTCTTGATAGGGTAAGCCATGCCTTTGCCGTGTTATTATGAAGCTCAAACACTCCGCCTGCTACCTGCTTTTTTCCTGAAACTGCATTTGCTCCTCTATCAACTGTCTCTTTAGATAGACCCTGATAATACCTACTTTGCAGTGACCCAGTGTTACAGAGCTTTGCACTTAGTAGATCCTGAGTAAATATTTGTAGAATGAAAGAACAGAGCTATTGATTATTTAGGTGGCATTTTTACTTCTGTGAAATCCCTTGGAAATTCTTGCTTAACTTGGTTAAAGAAGTAACCACAACAAGAAATTAAAATACTTAGTAGGAGTATTTAGGCCCCAAATAGTTTGGGTTCCCAAGTACTCCAGATAAGAATAGTAGGATCCCATAGTTTATGAAAAGGGGAAAGATGGTGCCTTTTTTTCCCTTTGTTCCTTGAACTTATTGTTCATATTATAGGTGTTTTGGAAAATGAAGTTTGTTATAATCTTGATTTTTATTAAGGAAAATTAGTTTCAGATTATTAAATATGGAAAGTAATAGAGTTTACACACTTTAGAAGTATTTTTTCATAGTGTAACCAAAAACAAAATTTTGAAGTAGCCACAACAAAAATACGTAAATGGGAATTGATTAAATTAAAAAGCTTTGGCATAGCTAAGGAAATAATCAGCAGAGCAAATAGACAATGTACAGAATGGGAGAAAATATTCACAAGCTATGCATTTGATAGAGGGCTAACAACCAGAATCTTCAAAGAACTCAAGCAAATCAGCAAGAAAAAAACCCAAATAACTCCATTAATATGTGGACAAAAGACACAAACAGAAGCTTTTCAAAAGAAGCTAGACAAATGGCTAATAAACATGAAAAATGCTCAATGTCACTAATCATCAGGGAAATGCAAATTAAAACCACAATGAGATATAACCTTACCCCACTTAGAATGGCTTTTATTAAAAAGTCCAAAAATAGTAGATCCTGGAATGGATGCACAGAGAAAGGAACGCTTATACACTGTTGGTGGGGCTGCAAACTAGTACAACCTCTATGGAAAACAGTAGGGAGATTCCTTAACTAAAAGTAGACCTACCATTTGATCCAGCAATCCCACTCCTGAGCATTTACCCAAAGAAGTCACTTTATCATAAAGACACCTGCACTGACATGTTTATTGCAGCAAAGTTCACAATTGCAAAGATGTGGAATCAACCCAAGTACTCATCAATTCGTAAGTGGATTAACAAAATGTGTATGTATACTATGGAATACTACTCATCTACGAAGAAGGATGAATTAAGGCCTTTTGCAACAAATTGGGTGGAACTGAAGACCGTTATTCTGAGTGAGTTATCTAAGGAATGGTAAAACAAGCACC